GTGCCAGGTATTTTCCAGCCAGTGAGCTTGGTCTGAAGGCCAGGCAGTCTATGTTCTTGACTGTTGACATTCACACCTCTCTGAATGCTGCTGAGTGGAAAGCACACACCTTAGTCTACCTGAAGGGAACCCTCACGCTGCACAGAGCACACGCTCAGACTAGATAGATGGAGCCTTCTGGAGCCTTGACTAGTTTTGGCTATTTTTAACCCTAAATATCCTTTAGGAGAGCATTTCCCAATAAGTGTTTTCAAGAATAAGTTTAAGAAGATTTATGCTCCAACAAACATTCCTAAGACATCAGACATATTCGTGAAGTTCTCGAGTAGCTCTTTTTCCAGGAGCTGCTCGAAGGCACCAACATGTCGGCATTTACTAGGAGTATAGAAGACAGCCTAGAAGACAACAAAGCTGTCTTAGTTCCAAAACATATTTGGCCATTCATATTGCTCCAAAGTAGTGTTTTGAGGAGTAATTTATATTGGGAAATGCTTGACATTTAACGAGCCTGCTGTGATAATGCAGCCTTTGTCTCAGGAGGTTACTTACCTGCCATAAGTCTCCTGGAGATACTTATGGATGGGAAGAAAGCATGAATGGAATGAAAAGGCCAGAGCCTGGACTCCAGGTGTCCTTGTTTGCTGCCTCCACAATGTACCACATAGAAAAGGATGTATCAGTTCCTCACTGACAGTCCTGTTTGCCAGACTATCTTTCTCTTAATTAAAATTCTAAACTTTAGTTTTCTAACTTCTTGACCTGACTCTGAGAGCCTTCAGTTTTAAATTTTTCAGCTAAACCTAACCCCAAGCAATTCTTTTGGGCACTGCATTATCTCTTGATTGATGAGAATCCAAGGATTACTTTCCTGGAATACTGGAATACTGAACTGGATTCATTAACACTAGGGGAGCAATCTAGTCTGGCTTCCTCAGGCTCAAGTCGTAAGTACTCCTGGACTCACCACCAGAAAGGGTCCCAATCTTGAGGCCTCTTTGAAATCAAAATGGACACTGTCCTCTCAACTACAATGATACTTCACTTAGCTGGATTCCTATTCTAGATGCAGAACCCAGCCATGTTGATCTGGGAGCAGGCATAAGAAGAAGGAAAAGAAATGGCGCTGGTCTCACCACCCAGAGAGACCATTTGTAGTACTTAAAGTAATCAAGTTACCCATCTCTGGGGAGTGCTGAGGAGTTTACTGATTTGTATTTTGATGAGATTATTACTGGGCCTAAATTAATGTGGTTCTCACAGACTATTAGTTTTGATACATTTGATGACTGATGGCGAAGAGGAAAACACTGTAGTTTTTGGCTGGATGAAGGAAAGAGGAGAAATCTTTTTTTTTTTTTTTTTTAAGGAAAAACAATCACTAAAATAATTTAAAATTATTAATCCACTAGGATTCAGAGCAGGGGCCAAAGCCTGAATTAATAATGGTTGGCGAGTCCATTCAGATAAGGCTTTTGGGGGGTCATTTTCCAAGGCTAGTGATGAAAAGCTTCATGGCCAGAGCAACATTTGGCAATAAATTAGTTCAGCTTGTTTCCACACAGCCTCAAACTCCATTTGTTCCATCAGGAAAAACAAGCTTTCATATGTTTGAAGCAAGGAAGAATAATGCAATTCCTCTTCACATTTTGACAATTCAATTTTTGGCATGTGCATATGCTGACCTTTAAAGACCACTAGCTACTCTCTCTCCTGTTTGGTTTTAATTCCTATAAAGGGAAAAAATGCATTCTTAGCTTATAACAGCAAGAGACACATTTTCTCAAGGCAAAAGTAATGAAGGCACAAGGAAAGTAGCATGTAAGTTAACCTATTAGCAAATGAGGTGGGGAAAGGCCTTCCCAGCGTGGAATTACCACATCTCAGACAATGATAATGTCATGCCATTGCTTGTTGAAGGAAAGACTACAGAATGAATGACTTGCCCCACTTTCTCATCTCTAACACTACATTAAAAGAATGTAGTAACAGCAACGTAATAGTGACATCTCCACTCAAAAAGCATTCAGTTAGAAAGGTAAACCAAACCAAAACAAAAACACAGACTAGAGCTGTGGGAAACCACTCAAGTAAGTGCCAACGGAGGTTTCCTCTGACTAGTTTGAGTGTGTGGTACTGGTTGTAGTAGTTATAAAAGTAATAGCTAACATTTTTGAGTACTTATATGACAAGCCTTGTTCAAAGAATTTTAATACACGCACTCATTTAATTCTGTGGGGTAGGTAATAGAATCTTACTTTTAAAGATGAGGAAATTGAGGCTTACAGAACTTGTTTAAATAACATCACACGTCACATGGCTTTAGAGGCATATCCTTGACCAAAGCCCCTGCTTTGTCAGGTTGCCATGGTCAGAGTGGAGCTCTGTCATTTGCCAATTATACAACTCTGGGAAAGTTCTTTAACCTCTCTGAGATGCAGATTTTGCTTCTAGAAATGGGTTATTCCCACATTTAAACAATATATTCCATGTAAAACACAGCATAGTACCTGGTTAAAAAAGGTTTAAGAGATGCTAGCTGTTATTACATACCCGTCAAAGGGTTACAGAAAGTAATGTGAGGCTTCATTTGATTTTGTTGTTTTCTTTTTAATTAATTTATTTATTTAAAATGACAGTTTATTCACTTTGTATCCCTGCTGTAGCCCCTCCCAACCCCAAAGTTCCTCCCTCTTCTCTTTTCATGCCCCTCCCCAAGTCCACTGATAAGGGATGTTCTCCTCCCCTTCCATCTGACCCTAGATTATGAGGTCTCCTCAGGACTGGCTGCATTGTCCTCCTGTGGCCTGGCAAGGCTGCTCCCCTCTGGGGGAATTTTGTTGTTTTCTTGATGTGTGGTGCTGGAGGTATTCCCATCCTTTGTGTAACATTTTTAGCATTATCTTCCGGAAAGCTCTTGGAAATGGTAGTGATCATAGTAATTGTGTCAATTATAGTAAGAGATATTTGTATTTCTAAAAATACGACTACACTGGCCACACAGAACACAGCAAAGCTGAATCCATGGGAGGAAGACTTAGTTTATGCTCTTAGGAATGTTCAGCTGATCTTAGATTTTAAGACACAATGAAGTCATCTGAACATGCTAGTGCTTCTATTTTTCCATTCTTCACAGTTAGGACTTTCACTTGCGTTCTCCCTAACTCTTTAGGAAACAGCTGCAATGCCTGTACTGCGTGAAGAACTTACTTTACTTTTCTATTCTTATTTTTTTTTTAAGTTAAAATTTTATTTACTTTATGCTTTAAACATCTTGGCTGCATGTGTATCTGTGCTCTACAAAACGGTATCAGATACCCTGGTTTTGGAGCTAGGGAAGGCTGTTGTGGGTGCTGGCACTTGAAACAGGGTCCTCCACAGAAGTGACAAGAGCTCTTAACTGCTGAGCCACCTGTTCACACTTTTGTGGTGGTTGGTTAGTTCCTGACCTGTGCCCTTCTCCATAGCACACATCTAGTCTATGCCAGTCCCATTAGAGCACCTCAAATGTCACTTCTGTCACTCTTCCCAGCCAGAGCTAGGAGTGCTTTCAAGTCAGGTGATTTTCCCATCAGGAAACATTTAGTAATGTCCAACAACAGCTCTTGTTCTAATTGTGAGTGTGTGAGAGGCATCTAGTAAGTAAAAGGATTACAGTTCTACAAGTGAAGATTTATTCATCACCTATGTCAGTAGGCCTGACTTCAGAAACAGTGTTTAAAATGCCCTCACCAGTATGTTACATATTATTATTTTTTATTTAAAAACATATTTATTTTCATATTTTATCATGGAAGATAAATAATTTGCAGTCAGGGTGCAACGTTTTAACTGTCAACTTGACAGTAGGTTGAATCACCCAGAAAGAGAGTTTCAGTGAGGGACTGTATAGATCAGGTTAGCCTGTGGGCAAGTCTGTGGAGGACTGTTTCCTTATACTTACTGGGAAAACCCAGCCTGGAAGCGGCCAATGACACCTGTGGGTTTGTGTCCCGACTGTGTGACAATGGAGAGAGTGAGTGGGGTGGCACCCAGGCATGCGTTCTTACTCGATGCTTTTAACTGTGGATGCGAACAGCTGCTTCAAGTCCCTGCTGCTATGACCTCCCTGCAGTGATGAGCTGTAACATGGATTTGTGAGCCAAGGAAACTGTCTCTCCCTTAAAGTTGTGTTTGTTGGGATATATATCTTAATCACAGCAACAGAAAGAAAACTAGAACAAGGATTCAATTATAATTATCTCTTTATTGCTAGTAGTCAAGACAATTTTATCAGTAATAGTCAAGCTAGGAAATCCTCTATTACCCATCCATATGAACTTATTAAATTGGGTAAATTTAGTCAGTAATCACACATTAACCACAAAAGATGTCAGATGTCAGATGAAAGGATTTGAAGTTTCCTTGTGACATTTGATAAATAAGAAAAATAATATAAAAGCTAACTTTTTAGTTTTTATAACCCAGCCATTGGTTGTCCTTATTTCTGATTTCATATGGATTTCCCAAATGATCCAATAAACTACAACATATAAAAAAGGATGTATAAAAATATGTTGGAAAAGATACAACCACACATGAATACATTTAGAGAAACATTTTAACCATGAAAAATTTGACAATGTTGACTAAAGATTCTACCAGAAAAATCAAACCAAAGTGAAAAGGAAAAAGTGAGGGCACTATCAAGACGTTATGCTCAAGGGAATCAGGATCAGGGGCCACAGGAGAAATGCTCAACATACCAACACTAGTATCACAACATTAGCAACAATAATACTGCAAAATAACAGTTTGTTCTAGCCAATGACACTAGCAGCAGATGTGATGAAACTGGAGGCTCTGTGTGAGCAGAGGCAGCGGCTCCCATACATGATGCTCACTCCTAAATGAGATCTGCATCCATTTCATTCATTTTTCTCTTTTTAAGTATGAAATTGTATATATAGTATTTATTTATTGATTAAGAGGCATGTGATTACATGAATTAAATGGTTACTCACCTAGTAAATCCGAGGCTCTCAAATTTTCTTTTAGAAATATAACAGAAATGATGGCACTACCTATAAAGAAAATTGCCATTAGTGGTGATTCCTATATAAAAACATGTTATTCAGTACAGTTTGAAAGACACGAAGCATTTCATGTCTGTGCCTCACTCCCTGTGTTCTGAGCTGTGGCTGTAAAAGTGATTTCTTCCATGATGGAAGAAGACAAACAGAAACGGACCAAGAACAATGTGCTCGGGGTAATGCCTGTATATGGGGAGGGTTTCATAAGCTTCCTGAGTGAATGTATGGGAAACAAGTGCAAGATGGAGGAAAGAAGAAAGGGGGTAGAAGGAGAGGAGAAGGGAGGAGAGGGGAGAAAAAAATAGAAGACAGAAAGTGCAGGAAAAGATAGAAAGTAAGCAAAAGCTAAAAGTTAAGAAAGCTGAGGGTGATTTAAAATTTACATAATAAAAATATACTCCATACTATTGCTCATCAATTCTCAGCATCCCCTCCAGTGCCTCCCAGTCCAGAGTTCCTCCTGGCTCTGTCTCCTTCATACAGCATGTCCAGCAGGCTGCTGGACCCAAGTCTGCATTGCATTGTCCTCTTCACCCTGTCACTGTCCCAGCTCAGGCTTAGGCCTCTGCTTAACAGTACAGTAGCACCTGTCTTGACATCTCACTTCTCGCTCTTTCTCCACACCAGCACCAGAGTAATCTCTCTAAAATACAAAGCTCATGTAAATTTGCAGTTTTACATCTGAGCTGCTGACTATGGCCTTCAATGACAGCTATGATTTCTCTCCTGTCACTTTTCTCACAGTGATCCTCAACTTCTCTTCTATTCTGTGCTTGTCCTTTCTAAAATACATAAATTCCCAGTTCCATCATGTGCTTTTATGTTCATGACTTCTACAAGTGCCCATTTTGTGGTCAACTCTGGACTCAAGATCACTTTTAGATCTAGACTAAGCTGAACATGCTACTTTTATGTTGGGAGAGTCTGTATGTAGTTTTTAATTTTATCTGGGATTTATTTTCTTGTCTTCATCCTTTTTTTTCTTACACTTCCAAGAGTGACTCACACTGGTGGACTCTTACAGCTGAGCCTGCTGCTGTGACCTCAGGGTCAAGTAGTAAGTTTCACATCTGAGTCGTTCCTCTTGTAGGCTCATTCCTTGATGAATTCAGGCATTGGAGAACTCAAAATAGCAATCATAAAAAAGAGATGTAGTATAATCTGAATTTAAAATTTTTATTAAAAATTTAGCTGAGCTTTTAAAAGTAATGTTTTCATAAAGGTACTACTGTTTAGAGAAAACTGCAGTTGATATGTTGATCAAACTAGAAAATACTTTCTTTGGTTAATATGGAAGCAGCAATTTGCTATGTCATTAAAAATTCTTTATTGAATAATTTTAATGTCTGTATAATGACCCATTAATGTAGATGCTACAGTTACATTTTGAATATGACTATGCCTGATGTTCTGGTGACTTATTTAAAACAAAATAACAATTTTATATCCAAGGTTTTCACTTTAAATAAGTTGAGATGTTCATATGATTCCCACCCCCAGATTCTCTCATTTGCATTGATCTTTGCTCTTGTATTATCTTCCTGGACAGGTTATGTATTTGAATGTAAGTTTCACAAAGAATAATCCAGGTGGAGAAATGTTTGCCAAGTCTATATTTAATTGGGCAGTTTGGTTCTAAAACATTAAAACAAGATTTTCTATAGACAAACAAATATGAATATTAAATTATCAAATTAAGTCTATTAAGAGTTGAATTTATGATATGAAAATATATTTAAAATTTCTATCCCAAGATAGGAATAATTCAAGAAATTTTAGAGAGGAACACCAGTGTCCTATGTTCAGAGCCTTAGAAAGGCATGAAGACCAGACCAACACCTTTACAAACTGAATCATATCACTGGCTTTTACAAAACTGGACAAATTATGTTTTCAACTGGAAAAGGGTAGACTAACAATACAAACAAGTGCTGTGTGGCTGCAGGAACACAGACCATGCACCTCATTACAGCAATCCTGGTGATGGGATTTCACAGCTGGGGTTGCAGTAAGGTGGACCCTGCATCCCACGAAGAGGGAAATGTAGAATAGTAGGGACACCTACCTAGTTCTAAACATCACACACGTGAAACTTCAGCCACAAGGAGCTTGTGTATTTGCTCTCTGATCTTCTGACAACACTCCCCAGCTCGAGCACACTGCTTCCCTGACATCAGAAAGGGCAGATTTCCTTTTCCTTTGTTTCTAAGCCATAGCTTCATAAATAATCTAATTTTCATATGGAAGTGGGGGAAATGTCACATGGTAAATAATTTCATTGCTTCAAGCCCAAAGGATGTGACTGTAATAAAGACGTAAAATACACAACATGACTGAGCTGTATCAACGGCCACAAGTTACCAGTTTCAGGAAACAAATACGCTCTTCTTCCTCTCTAAAAGCATTTAGAGCTCTAATGCACTTCTATACTTATCCATTTCTGAATGTTGTCTCTTCTGTTGTAAGGGAATATGAAATCTTTCCATCAAGGTAGTGTATGTATGTGTACATGCATGTGCACATATGTGCTACTCTTGTCTGTGCATGTGGAGGCCAGAGAGGCTGATGATTGGTATCTTCCTCTATGATTCTCCATCATATTTAAAAAAATAGTTATTTAGCCAGGCACGGTGGTGCACATCTGTAATCCCAGCACTCAGGGAGGCAGAAGCAGGCAGATCATTGAGTTCGAAGCCAGCCTGGTCTAAAAAGCCAGTCCAGGACAGCCAAGGCTACATAGAGAAACCCTATCTCAACAAACAAACAAACAAACAAACCAAAACCTAAAAGAATATTTATTTTAAATTGTGTGTACGTGTGATTTTATGTGATGCGTACAAGAGTGCAGATGCCTGCAGACATCAGCGGTGTCAGATCCCTTGAAGCTGGAGTTGCAGGTATTTGTTAGCTGCCTGATGTGGGTGCTGGGAAACCCAGTCAGGTTCTCGGCAAGAGCAACATGTGTGCTTCCTGCTCAGTACGTTTTTAAGCCCTCCACCTAACTCAACCTGGAGCTCGATGTTTCAGCTAGACAGCCGCCAGTGAGCCCGAGACCTGCTACCCTCCCTCACCTTTTATGTGGGGAAACGGATAGGCACCACCATATCTCCTTCATTGCTTTAGTGGGTGCTAGAGAGACCCTCTGCCAAGCTTTGACATAGAATAAAATATTTATTTAGTAAAGTAATAAAAATAATGTGTTACTATGATGAATTTACTTGTATACACAACTATGGGTGAAATATAAGCAAACTGACAGTGTCTGAGCAACAGCTAATGACATGACTTCCTAGTAGAGTAGAATATTTTTAAAATGAGCAAAATTAAACCAAAGTATTCCCATACATCTCTAACCAGAGACCTGCCCAGCTCAACTATTGTTTTTCCAATAACCACTGCCTCATGAACAGGGCCAATTTTATTGCTACAGCAAAATTTAATAATAAAAATTTGAAAGATCATAAAGATCACTAGTTTTTAAAAGCATCAACATAGCATGCCTGCACGTATGTGCCAGGTATAACTAAACTACAGCTATCATAAGGTCTTCCTTTAGCATGCACATTTAGGGTTGGAGGCTTGCTTGGGCAGAGGCTCATGACTTCTTTGCTACTTGACCCTCCAAGACACAGAATGATCATAGAAGTTGCTATTTAATTGCTAGGTATGTATCCAGGGGGAAAAAAAAGAGTGTAAACAAAACTAGGAACAAAATATATGCTTTGCAGGCACTCAATAGTTGCAGAGAGTTAACAATGCCCACTGTTCAGACATGTGGTTTTCCCAGGCAAAGCTCAATGTTTAAGGTCAATGAACTGCTCTTCTTGTCAAGTGGAAAGTGTTTATAGAACCGGCCAGCTCTGTCCCCAAGTTTATCAACTTCTGACAGTGGATGACAATGCTGCAGCTGCTCAGAGAATCATCTTATCTGGGGCCTGTATATAAAGTTTGCAAATGGGGTCTGATCTGAGCTGGGCTGTCTTCAGCTCCTCATTTCATTATTCTTAAGGAAATTCTCAGTTAGAAAGTGTAAGGCTGGTTCATGAAGATGCCATAGAGTAAGGAGTATTGGAATTAACCTAAAAGATTTTCCTGCTGTTTAGTGTTCAAAATGTCTCTGAGGGTGAAAATTAGAAGTCCTGTGGGGAGCTCTGGGCTGCCAGGCTGCAGAGGACATAGCAGGGCACTGGGCTGAGAGGATGAAACTTGGGTTCTAGCTTGTGTCTGTCAAGCTGTGGGAGAGCACACCCGCTAACACGCTGTCTTCATTCTGAGGCTGGGGAGACGAAGCACACATGCTTCCCGGTTGCCAGTGGCCCCCCTCTGTTTGCACATGATCCAGTAGTTTACGAGCACACAGATGAAGCCATGCTGTGTGCTGTTTAAAAGTGGCTTAACAAGTATGAAGGGAAAGCAGGAGAGAGGCTACCTGCTGTGTGTGATAACTGGGTTCTGTGGGGAAGGCATGACTGAACGTTCCAGGAGCAGTACACTGCCCTCTCCTTACTAACAGATAATGCAGGAATGCTCACCCGGAGGAAAAACCTCTCCCTTACTCTTTAGTAGTTAGTAAATGGCCACAAATACAACAATTCACAAAGCAGAGCAGACAAGCATAGGGAAAAGCCCCGCTTCATCAGTCATAACAGAAAGAAAGGCAAGGCCTAAAAGCAGGTGCCGCCGGCAAGGTGGGGCAGCAGCCATTTCCTGAGCCAGAGTGCTGACCCGGTGCATTCTCACCCTTCTATATCGTGGCCGGGCTGGAAAGCAGAAGAATCTATCTATGTAGAGAGTGAGCTCACGATCTTCTTGTGAACACTGAACTGTTCAGATTCTTTGACCTGTGTCTGGGAATCTGTCTTAAGGTAGTAATTAAAAAAACTGGAAAGAGACCCAACCTATCATTACAAAATTACTTTTCCAGGATTCAGTAGTAATGGATAGTCAATAAAATTATAACAAAAAGTATTTATACAGTAATATATTTAGAA